TCTTTTCCATGTGTCCCCTCCTGTCTCCTAAGTGCTTCCCATCAGCTGTGGGTTCTTTGGCTCAATCTAGATAGAAATCATGAACTGGCAAAATGCAGCTCCCTTGATGTTAGCAGCTCCAAGCTCCGGGTTCTGGCAGCTGGCAGTTCTGAGTGTCACAGCTGGAAGCTTGAGCTCCAGCACCTCTTAGCTCTTAGCGTTGTAGCTCCTGATGGCTCCTGGCCTCAGCAACCCAGGCTCGCAGCTCCCTAGCACCTTTTGGGGCTCCTCCAGCAGCTCCACCACCCTCTACCACTCCCGGCATGGCCTGCTGGTCTGGGCTCCTTGTCCTGCTGCCCTCTGGAACTCTGCAGGGAAGACAGCTCTTGGTGTCAGCAGCAGTTGTGGGGTAACCTGCTCATGCCACTCTACCTGGAATAAAAATTGTAAGTAGACAACAGGACCGAGCCACGTGAGTCTCTACAGGGAACCACACTGCAGTACAATGGGACAGCTTGGCCCAGATGCAAGATTCGGGTCTCATTTCCCTCTTTCTCCTAAGAACATTCCTTGGATTGAGAGACCACTCCAGCACAGTGAGATCCATCTTGATCCCTCCTTCAATGACATCCACAAAAATCGTTTCTCCCAAATGAAGTTGCTGTTATGTTTATAAATAGATAAAATAAAATATCTCCCCAAACCTCGTGCACTTCCAGGTGGGGCTTTTGGGAAGCGGCTGGATCAGGGGTGTGTGGTACTGGATCATGGTGCATGATGACCAGATTAGCCCGCTGATTAGTTTAGCCCAGTTCTCTGTGTGGGTAACAGGAAGCCCAACCTGGCCACGGGTGGCGCCAACCAGTAGGCTCGCAGCCTGAACAGAATAAAAAGGGAAAGGGAGGCTCAGTGCTCACTGCTTCCTGCCTGCCCTGCCATGGACTGTCTCTCTCCCCTGCTATGCTCCTTTCTCAGACTGCCCGCCTGTGAGCCGGCCAACAGTGGACTAAAACCTCTATAAACTGAGATAAAGTAAACCTTTCCTCCTTTAACTTGTGAGTGCTGGGTATTTTATCTCAGCAAGAAAAAGGTAACCAAGACAGTCATATTCTGGGGTTTTGGGTGGGCATATTTTAGGGAGATCTTGTAAATGGGGTAGGGTGACCATTCCTCAATCATTGATCCTCCAACTGGCAGGCAGCATTCAAAGCCCCCATAATGGAGATCCACGCCATGTTGGAGCTTAGGACCCTGGGAAGCCAAGCCAGCATCTCCCCTCCCTGGTAAGCGGTGGTAGTGTGGCCCACTGCAGCCCTTCAGGGGGAGAACTAGCAGTGTCTCCTGAGATCCACGCCATGTTGGAGCTTAGGACTCTGGGAAGCCAAGCCAGCATCTCCCCTCCCTGGTAAGCGGCGGTAGTTTAGCCCACTCTGTAGTCCTTCCAGGGGGAGAACTAGCAGTGTCTCCTGAGATCCACGCCATGCTGGAACTTAGGACTCCTTGAAGCCAAGCCAGCATCTCCCCTCCCTGGTAAGCGGTGGTAGTGTGGCCCACTGCAGCCCTTCAGGGGGAGAACTAGCAGTGTCTCCTGAGATCCACGCCATGTTGGAACTTAGGACTCTGGGAAGCCAAGCCAGCACCTCCCCTCCCTGGTAAGCGGCGGTAGTTCAGCCCACTGCAGCCCTTCCAGGGGGAGAACTGGCAGTGTCTCCTGAGATCCATGCCATGCTGGAGCTTAGGACTCCTGGAAGCCAAGCCAGCATGTCCCCTCCCTGTAAGCGGAGGCAGGGTGGCAGCCTGCAGCCCTTCCAGGGGGAGAACTAGCAGTGTCTCCTGAGATCCATGCCATGTTGGAACTTAGGACTCTGGGAAGCCAAGCCAATACCTCCGAAAAAAAAAAAAAATCCATGTAAATTATATGTAAGTTGCAGTACACCAAAATGTAATCCACTATTCTGTGCAATTTACATGAACTTATAAAATCATTTTCAGATTATATAAAATAAAAAAAACTAATATGATTGATAGTGTCAAGTTTGGGATTATAGGCAACTACACTGAAGAAGACAAGACCCTATGATATACATTCTGGTTTGATAACTGCCAGTTTTTGAAGTTCTATACTATATACAAAGTTGTGTTTTTATTAATACTGTTATATACTGATATATTCAGTTATACTATGTCTGATGATATAGCCAGTTCTATTGAAGATAACAAGAGACAACACAGGAACTATGGTAGAAGTCCTTGCACAATGGTCTTATATGTCTTTTTTGTTTCATGTGTTTATAGGAATATGTTTTGTTCTGTCTTGCTTTGTTTCGTTTCTACCTCTAATATAGAAAGAACAGAAATACATGTTAAGACTCATGCATGTGTAGAATCTATAAACAGTTTATGAGAGCTGATCTTATGACACATGATGAAATGAACAGATACTTTGAGGAAAAAGAGTCACTAAAGAACCCAGTGCTGATTCTGGTGTGTCATAATGTGAAACCCAGCTATAGTATTATTCTCTGTTCAGAGTGATATTAGCCTGCTTGGGTTTTTTCTATCTCAACAAAATTGAAGATATGGATAACTGCATGTATGTTTAAGTGTATAGGATTGATAACCATATTTCTAAGTTTTTACTGGACAGTTGAACAGAACTGTTTGCAGTCTCGCTGTTTGAATTCTCACTTTACATGTTCCATTTTTGTATCTTGAATAACTATTTGTAAAATGACAATATGTAAACATCAACCAGTGATTTCTTACTGTTTATTTTTTCTCTGAATGCATGTATTATTTCTACCTATTTTCTGTTTTGTTTAGTCTTTCTTTAAATAAAATTTAAATAAAAAAGCCCCCATAACAGTCTTGGCAAGGCCAGGGAATCGGATGGGCACCTAGGCATGGAGAGAGGGCTTTTGCAGGGGATCCTGATGACCACCAGTTCAGATGTGGTCACCAGAAGATGGCCCTGGTAAGATTTCAGCTGCGAGTGGGGCTCTGGCCCCTTCCTGGGCAGGAAGGGCGCCCACACTCTACATCTGGCCAGCCATGCAGAAGAACATGCAGTCCACACCGCACTGAGGCCGCAGCAGACACAGGCCAACTACTCCCGCCCCGGGGCCCTGGGTCAGAGCTCAGGGCCTCCACAGTCACTGGCAAAGAAAGCACTGCTGGGGACACATGATGACCGTTTTCCCAGCCTCCTGTAAGCTAGAATAACATTTTTTTAAAGTGCCTTAATTTCTTTCTAAATGGAGACACACAGCACTAAATCACATCCGATGTGCGAGAGCAAAGCAGCTCGTCTGGCTTTCATCTGCCTCCCATTTAGCCAAACGCAGCTTTCAGCGGGACAGGAGGCGGGTGGGAGCAAAATGCTACACCAGAAACACCCTTGATGGGGCAGATGCAGCTCCTCTGGAGGATGGCATCGCTTTGTGCAAGGAGAAAGCTGCTGGATCCTGGCCCTATGGGGATGCTGGTTGAGGGGGGCCAGGGAGAGGGGTGCCTCCCACCACCGCTGCTTTCTCATGTAAATCACTGAGTGACTTAGAGCTTGTCCACCCTGAGCACCCTCTGCGAACCTTGAACCTTCCGGGTTCACAGGGAAGGGACAGGGCTCTCCTCTGCAGCCCAGAGCACACAGCAGCCTCTTGTGCCCAGGAGGAGAGCCCCCTCACCCCATGTCTCTTCAGATGCAAAGGTCAAAGGATGCCCAGCATCACTCCCAGCCACCACCCCAGCCCAGGAGGAGAGCGCACAGTGCCCAGAGCCATGAGGCCCCATGAGGATGCCATGGAGGGGATGACAGGTGGGGACATCAGGCCTGGGAAGGCACTGAGGGCTGGGGTCAGGTGCCTGCCCTCCTTCCCTAGAAGCCTGCCGCCCACCCTGGTTGTACCCTCAGCCCCTCCGCTCCGGGCTGCTCTCCCCTTCCCTGTCCCTCCCTAACGAAGATGTCCCCACCACTTCATATCCTAACCTCAGTGCTCCTCCACTGTCCTAACCTTCAGGGCCACCAGACATGACACAACATAGCCACTGGTCACTGCCTAGGGCCCCCAGAAGGCCAGGTTAGGGGACAGGGACTGAGCCTGTCTCAGGAGGATCCCTGCCCTCCAGGCCACGCTGAAGAAGCCGGCAGTGCAGGGTGTGGCGGGAGTGTGGCTCTGGCTAAGCTGCTTGGGCCATGCCACAGCTCCCTGTGGGCCCGGGGACTCCTTCACTTCATCCGCTCGGGTGACACCCTCATCACCGGCAAGGAGCTCGCTGCCCCCAGCCCGCCCCAGAGCAGCACAGCCGCCTGCTCCCAAAGCCTGGGATGCCATCTGCCATGGGTGCTGTGGCTCCCTGCCCACTAGGGCAGTGACAGTGCTCTCAAATGGGCACCAGAGGGCCATGCTGTCCTGCAGGGCAAGTCCAAGCAGCAGAATGAGTGGCCTTTCACGGAGCACACGGGAAGGTATCGAGGGCACTGACCTCGGGCACTGGGAGCCTGAGGCCCCGAATGGCTGCTCACCCCATTCTTGGCCTTGCAGATGGCAGTGGGAGGCTGCCGGGCTGGGCACCTCCTTTAACAGACTTCAGAGCCCTGCAAGCCCCCGCCCAGGAAGCATCTCCAGCAAGCACTGGAGGACACGAGGCAGAGGATGCCCTCCAGACTTGGATCTGACACACATGCAAGGTCCCTCCCTGGGACACAAGGCCCAGAGCTGGTGTCCCGTTCAAGGACTGTCCTGAGGCCCGTGAGGTAGGGAGGCCAACTGCCACCACTCACTGCCTCCCACGAGAGAAGCACTGGTCACTGTGCACATTCACAGGGATAGGGGCTCTCCAAGAGGTTGACCTGGCCACCTCCATTCTCCCTCTGGGGCCCCCGCTTCCCACCAATGGCCCCGGGCTGTCCTGCCTGGCTCTCAGCTCCTCCTCCTTGGGGAGGCAACGGCTTGCACAGTCCCAGCAGAGTGGGAAGCCCAGTTCCCTTCAATCCCTTCTTAAAAACAAACACAAAGTGACACTTCTGTGAAACACTATAGCAAGGAATATATTATCTCTGTACAAAATCCAGTAAGAAAAATACAATTTTATCACTTAGGGCATTTTATAAAATACACTTTGCTAAAAGCAAATCAAAAGAAAGTCACAGATGGTGACAACCTCCTTGTGTGACAGAAGGACCAAGTGGTGCCGTGCACACCGAGGACAGGGGCAGGGCCACCACTGTTACCACCCCGGCCAGGGCTCCCGCTCAGGCCAGGGAACTCAGCCATGTGGATGCGGTCAGTGTGGGCAGCAGCTCAGCCAGACGTGGCCATCACGGAAACAAGCACAGCACACCTGTGGCCAGGTGTGCTCCCCCGTCGGCCAGGGTGCTACAGCGCCCAAGCTCACTGGTAGGTGACTTCCACACAGAAGGTCTCTTCATTCTTGTCCTCGTGGTCATTGATGTAGATCAGGATCTCCTCCTGTCCTGGCCTCACGCCTGGCACGAACCGCAGACCAATGGTGTAGGTCTCGCTGCCCCCCACCTGGAAGGAACCCAGATCCACTGTCATCACACCCTCAGGGCCCGCTCCTCGCTGGTCACTTCCAGACAGGTGACACAGGGTACACAGGTTCCCAGTAGTGGCCGTCAGCCCTCAGGGAGTCCACAGCCGCCCCCTGGCCCAACAGCAGCAGCTCCTGTCCAGAGCTCCGTGTCCAGCACTGGGACCCGAGGCCCTTGGAGAAGCTGCACTGACCTCTGGACTGATACCTGCAGACCTGGTCTGAGCCTTGCCCATTCCCAACGGGAAACACCGAGGCTCTAGACAACGGGGCTTTAGGACCCAGAGCCCTCTGCACGGCCCAGCCCACACCTGTCCCAGGCTGCCGGGTCGCACCTGGAAGGTGTCCTCCCTGAACTGCAGCAGGTCGGGGCGGTCGCTGTGCAGGTGGTAGACCCTCCGGGTGGGGTAGGGGTTGGTGTAAGTGATCCGCTTGTTGGCACCCTTCCCTTCCCCCACCGCCATGGTGATCTCAAAGGCCTGGAGACAAGGGCAAGGAGCTGTGGCCACACTGGCAGTCACTGTCAGGGGTCTTCTCCACTACCATGGAGCCAGCCCGGCACAGTGCCTAACACCACAGCAGGGACTCGGCCTGTCAAGGAGAGACAGAGGCCCCCTCCAGGGGCTGCCTCCCACCCCAGCCATGCACAGAGTCGGGTGACACCCAGTGGCTCCCCCATCCCCAATACCACAGCAACACCCTCCGTGCCCTCGACCTGCCCGTCCCCCTTACGGACCTTGGAGATAAGCGGCGGGCGGCAGGAGAGGCACAGGAGCCAGGAGGCCACCAGCTGGTGGAAATCCACATCGACCAGGTTGAGGTGCATGAAGCGGCTGCCAGCCCGATGGGGCCTCACGCCCACATGCAGGTCCTGCACCCCGTGAGGGGGCAGCAGGAAGTCACCTGCAGGGTCCATCTTCAAGGGCAAGGGAGCGGTCAGCACGTAGCCCCTCTCTTGGCAGCAGCCCCCTGCGCCCCACAGAACCCACAGGTTCAACTCCTCGGCCTCCTGTAGCCCAGGCCTAAGGCCTCCACCTCCCCCACCCGCCACATCCTTGTCCTTCATCTCAGGTCTGCAGGGCAAGTCCCTCTGAGGGTGCTCTGAGAGCTGTCGCTAGCACGGGCCAGCCGAGGGACCCACGCCCTGAGGTCGTACCTTCAGCTCCTGCGGGTGGGAGGCGAAGGCCCTCACTTTCCTAACAGTCTGCGTCCCCCGGACGACAAGGGACAGGCGTGTCACCTGGCCCGAGACACAGGAGACGTCCACGCGCTGCAGGGAGTGCAGGCAGACCTGCCACGTCTGCGCAGGCGCCGCCAGCCAGCGATCCCTGAGGAGGGACTGTGCATCCACACCCGTCCTCAGGCCACGGCCACCCGAGAGCCCCGGCTTCACTGTGAAATGAGGCTGGGGAGGCGCGGGGACCGGGGCTCACGGCCCTCACCCCTGAGCACCGTCTCCCATCCTCAGAAGCCAGGCGGCAAAGCAGGCCCCATGGGAGAGGCCTGCGGAAGGTGGGGAACGGGGCTCCGGGCAGACAGCAAAGGCGCTGCACTGGGGGGCTACAGGGCAACAGGGAGAATTCCAGGGACAACTCAAGCAGCTGTATGAGTCCCCCAAGGGCTCCAGGCCAAGATGGGAGCCGAGGTCCTTCTCAGCTCTGGCTGGGCACAAGCTGCTTGAGCCTTCCGCTGGGAGGCACAAAGCGGGTCCCAAGTCCCCCAGCCGCCCGTGCCACCCTGCATCCGGGACGTGCTCTCCTTGGGTAGCCACAGGCTCAGGCTCCGAGCAAAGGCATGGTACCCGCCGTATCTCTGGCACAGAATGGGACGAGATGGACCCCTCCACCTGCCCCTCCTCTCTCCTCCCCTCCCCTCACATCTCTGCACTCACGCATAAATGATGACAAAGAAGTCTTTGATCTCCGGGCTGGGGCCACTGGCCACCTTCAGAAACACGTCTCGAGGCTCCCCGGGGCCCTGCACACAGACAGGGAGGGTGTCGGGGCCACCTCCCACTGGGTCCCTGAAGCTGGGTAGTTGTGAACCCCACACCCCACCACATGCTCACTCTTGCACTAGCAGTGTGCACTGTTGTGTTCATTTTTTTTTTTTTTTTTTGGTTCTAGGGGTCAAACTCAGGACCTCCACTTTCCAGACGCTTATGCCGCTGAGCTAAATCCCTGGCGTTGGTTTTTTATTGATTTCAATAATTGCACTATACAGTTCCTATCACGATACAGCCACTGCTGCTACCCCTGGCGCGACAGCCATCAATGACTTCCGTCGCTGCTGGGTGCTTCCTGACCTTTAGCCTCTACGTGCAGGGAGCTGATCTACTCCCCGAGAAAACATGACACATCCAGAGCGCCCACTTCAGCATCCAGCGCCTCGCACGGGAGGAGGTCATGTCGCCCAGCACCAGGACTGGCCACTCGGGAAGGGCAGGAGAGAAGCACTGGGGAACCTGCCCAAGGGGCCCCCAGAACGTACCACATTCTGGGCCTCACAGATGACGTTCGGGTCACTGCACCGCACGTGCACCGGGGGCTCCTCCCCGAGTCTTCCCACAGGAGCACCTGGAACAGGGAGCAGGGACCGTGTCACCACCGCACCCCAGTAGGGCACACACATGGCACGGCCTCAGAGATGGACAGAGCTGCCGCCTGACCCGGCACCCAACAGTTAAGGACAAGGGCTACAGACGTGGCACCTGAGCACAGGTGACGCCTCCCTCTGGGGCAGAGCTAGAAAACGCCTCGTGCATGATGTGACTTTAGGAGCTGGGCTCGGCCACCAAAAGTGCACCCTGCAGCCTCAGAAGCCTCAAGCAGGATCCCCGTCAAGCCATAAAGGCAGGTGGCCGGTGTCATCGCCCCCCTCGTGGCAGGGTGGCAGCATCATGACACCTCTCGCCTCTCAGTGGAGGCAGACACCTGTCCCACCGGGCTGACTCCCACGACACTGGCCGCAGCGGGGAAGGGACCTGCCTGGAAGCGTATGCCAGGGAGGCAGGCGGATGGCCTTCTTCAGGAAGGTGAGCTCCGGGTGGTAGAAGCGGAAGACCTGGTCCACCACGTGGGGCTGGGGCTCCACTGTCAGGCAGAGCACGGCCAGGGGCTTGCCGCCACCCGCACGGAACAGGACCTGCAGGACAGCAGCAGCCCCAGCGTCAGGACGGCACACAGCTACGGGGGTTTCTCTCCTCCAGTGCTGTCTACACTGGTGGGGAAAATCCTTCTTCCCAAAACTTCGGGGGACAAGGGTGGGGTGGCCAGGGCTCCCTGGGCAAGCACTGAGAAGGATGCTTTGGCCTCAGGTTTAGTCCACAGCATGGGAGGAGGAGCAGGCAGCTCCCTCCAGGAAGCCAAAGCCAAGTTTCACGCAAGGGCCCTGGGATGGGCCTGGAGGCGATGGGTCTGGGCTTCCCCAAGCTGAGCTCCAAGCAGGGAGTGGTCTACAGGTAACAAAGAAGGCCACCAGCAAGGCTCTGAGGCCCGCCAGGGGGACTCCCCTCTAAATGGGCAGAGTGGGCGGGGCCAGGACAACTATGGAAATGCACCTCGGAGTCCAGCAAGGACACCTGCTCACAGCGCAGCTAGGGAACGGTGGGGTCCCCTCTCCTCTGCCCCTTCACCTTGGCATGTCTCGTGGGTGTGGCACTGGACTTCCAAGGTGCTCCAGGGTCCTTGTACTTCTCGGCACTCGGCTCGGGGGAGCCCTGCATGATATCGGTTAGCATGAGCTGTCACAAGGTGCAGGCAGTGATGACCACCCTGGACGCCCAGGGCTGGGAGCTCCTGAGAGTCACACAGGTCCTCCCACGCCAGCTCCCTAGGCTGCTGTCCCCCGACCAGGGTCACCCCCAGAGCAGGAAGCAGAGCAGAGGACAGCAGGGGCTGCAGCCCAGGGACAGATCTGTCCGCCAGCCAGAGGGGAGAGGCCCTGGGCCCTGAGGAACTCTGGAGCTCAGCCAGGAGCTGCAACACAAACCTGCCCTGCCACACACACCTGGCCCAGGCCTCTGGCACCCCAGGCTGACTGCGTAGGGCAAAGGCCACAGTGAGGACCTGAGGGTCGCACGCTGGACATCGCGTCCTGGCTCTGCACAAGTTTACATGAGGAGGAGCCATTCCTGCAACCCTGTCCCCACTGGGAGGACAGAAGGGTCAGGGCTATGGCATCCAGGGGCAGAGAGCTTGCTGAGCCACGCGGTGGACACAGCAGGGTTGAGCGCTGACCCGTCTGCGGACAGGGAGCACTTTGAGATGGAGCCCGCACCTGCACCGGAGCTGGCAGGCCCACGGAGAAGCTCTGGTACTTGAAGGGGACGTGGGTGGTCTCCCGGGGGCGCAGGTAGAGCTGGGGGGCCAGGTCGCCACGCAGGTGGAACATGTCCTCCTCCAGGGGTGTGTGCAGGCCGGTGGCGTCTTTAAAGAACCTCCACTCCCGACTGTCCAAGATGAGGCTGCGGCGGGGGACGGAGCAGTGAGGCCGGATGGCCCCAGCGGGGATGGGACAGGGTGGGTTGCGTGGGTTCGGGGCAGGGGCAGGGCCTCCCACCTGAGCTCGGGGTTGTCGATCTCAATGGACACGGTGTGCTGCGTGTTGTGCGGGTTCTTCAGTGCGAACTCGAAGAACTCAGCCGTACCCAGCGTGGCGTAGAGCGTGTGCTGCGTGGTGATGGCCAGGCTCAGCACACTGGCGATGCTCTCCGCCTTGGTGCGCTCCCGGTAGGCCTCGATGACCTGCAGATCCCGGGAGTGCTGCATGTGCACACTCTGCCGGGCCTGGGGACACAGGCAGGATTCGCTAAGCACCAGGCTGGGCGTGGGCCAGGCCCCCTCTCCAGATGCTGACAGCTTCTGGAAAATCACACCACTGCCGTTCCCTTGGCTGGGTGCCTGGGGGACAGGCCATCCAACTCCAGGGGCAACAGCTGGCACTGGAGCGGAGGAGACCACCTCTCCCTGCCCCTGGAGGTCCATGCAGCAGTACCAGGCAGCACTGCCCCCTGGGGTCCCCCCACAGGCTCCTGAGGGCCCCCCCGCATAGGTGTGCCCTGCTCTGCTCCTGAGGGACGTGGGCTCTCCCCGGGGCACCTGTGATAGCGGGTCACACACAGGCCAGCCTTGATGTGAGGGCTCTCGGTCAGCACCCTTCCATCGCCCCCCTTTCCACAAACCACCAGCTGCAAACACTCTCCTCCTCGGTCCTTTGTTTTGTTTTGTTTTGTTTTTCAGGACTGGAGATTGAACCGAGGGCCTCTGCACTGAGCTACATGCCCCAGCCTTTTGTTTTGAGACATAATCTCACTACATTGTTAAATTGTCCAGGCTGGGCGAAAACATGGGTCCTCCTGTCTCAGCCTCCCAGCATGCTGGGATTACAGGCGTACGCCGCTACACCCAGCTACCCGCTTCCCCAACCCAGCTGCAAACTATGAAAAGTTCTATTTCGATGTTCAGCCAGGAAGAGAATCCTTCTGGTCAGAGATTATAGGATGCCCCCAGGACACTGAGCTCAGGCAGGGCCTCAAGGCCCACTGCAGCTTTCGTAAACTCAGGGTCCCAGGGCTCCACCAAGCCAACCGCGGGGCACCATCCCTTAGGAGCTCTGAAGGCTCCCTAGTGGCTCGGAGCCCCGCTGTCTGCTATCCTTATACCAGGACCGGACAGGGGTGAGGAGTGGCAGCCAGAAGTAGGGCAGGGGGCTCTCGAGATCCATGCCCCGCAGCGTCCTCACCAGCACTGTGGTCCTGCAGCCTACGGACTCCGCTCCCGACTCCTGGAGGCGCACGGACCTCATCCGCTCCAGCTTGCGCCTGCGCACGGCATCCGCCTCGCGGGCGTTGCCCGGGGGTCCCTGGCTGCCCGGTGAGGGGGTCAGCAGCATGGCGGCCAGCTCACTGTCCACGTCGGCCAGCCTCTGCGCCTGGACCACGTTCCTCCCTGCGGAGAGGGTGACAGGAGGACTTTCATCAGTGTGTAACGATTCTTTGCTCGTGAGGCACCCCCCAGGACCCGTCCCGCTGTGCCAGGCCCGCTCCTCCGCGCAGATCTGCTCCATGCAGCCTGGAGCCTGAGCTCCATGGCGCCCCCTACTGCCGGCCCCTCACGGAGAAGGAGTTCCAATCCCGCCTGCCTCTGTCCCCTCCTCACACACAGCAGGGGTGACAAGGATTGCGCTCAGGGACAGGGCCTCACTCAAGCACCACATGTTTCCCACGGAAAGCCGTGGTCCACGTGACCCCCAGGGCTGCTCCACTTCCGATCGGCAGGCACCCACGGCTTCCCCAGGAGCCGCCTTCTCCCCAATCCCCACCACTCCCTCCAACACAAGGACACAAGCATCCCTGCTCCACTTCAAAGCCCTTTCACTGCTTTTCTGATGCCAGCAGCTCATGAGCTGCCCTTAGTGGCTACCCAGAAAGGGTCTAGCGGTGCTGGGGCACAGCCTGGGGCGGGGTTTGAGATGTCCTCAGCTCCGTGCAGGCGCTGGGGCTTCAGGATGAGCTCAGGTGTTCACAAAGCATCACCCTCACAAACGCCTCTCCCAGCTCTACTGAAATGGGAAATGAGGCTCCCGGGAGACTATGGGGGTCCCCTTGCCCAAGGAGAAGCGGGGCACACTGGAGCCTTCTCACAGTTCCGCAGAACCTTTGACCCCCATGGCCTGCGTGGGGCCGCTGCACACTCAAGAACGCTGGGCTGCTTCTCATCAAAGGGGCCCTAGGCCACCCCTCCCCTCCCTGGGGCCACTGAGCTCCAACGAGAAGTCCTCAGACCATACCTTTCTGGGCTTGGGGATCCAGGTTCTGGTCCAAGCTCACCACCCTCCCCGCTCCCACACTGACCAGGTCACCCCAGCTCCCTCTGCCTCACTTTGATATTTGGGCGAGAACTGACTCAACTCGCCGGGGTCACAAGCAGCACCATCCCAGCACATGGACCCTGCTTCCTGAGCGCCCAGGACAGGATGTATGGGTCCCCAAGGCCTCGAGGGATAGGACCCAAGGAGGCCCAGCTGCGCAAGACAGCACGGGGCAGGCGGGGGCGCACCTGGTGAGGGAACGTGGGAAACCCTGCTCAAAGAGTGCGGCCCACCTCTAACACAAGCGACAGTAGCTTGCACTTAGTCTGAAGGGGACACACCCAGACCCTAGCCTTCCCTCCCGAGCTCTGTAACTGGTTAGGAAACCACAGCACACTTTGCAGCCAGGTCTGAAAGTCTGTCCACGCTCACCCCGACTTCTCCCTCGTTTCCCTTCCCGTGGGGGCAGCGGAACACACACAAGGCCACGGGCAAAACTGGGACCCTGTGAGAGAACACAGCTGGCTGCCAAGCCGCACCTGGAGGGACACGGAGGACCACAGCCTTCGAGGCCACAGGGCTATTGCGCTGGACACAGGCGCCCAGAGGCAGAGGGCCGTGGACTACACACATGCATGCACATGCGTAATGCACACATGCACCCCTCACCCTACCCTGCCCTGCACACACAGCTCACCGCCACCCACATGGGACCACGGCACCCACTCACGTGTCAGGGCTCCCCGTGTGAGGAGGCTGCCCCCAGGGAAGCGTCTGGCTCCGTCGTTGGAGATGACCCGAGATCTGGATGGTGGCAGCAAGCTGGACTCTGTTGCTCCCCGTTCACATGCGTGACCTGAACCAGAAGAGCCAGGGTGAGATGAAAGGGGCACAGAACAAAGGGGGCGACACCTCAGGTCTGGCCTCTGGGTGCCACCACCAGGGACCCCTGGCCCTGCCTCACTGCTCTGAACACATCTTAAAAGGAGAATGGCAGGCTGGAGCTTGTTTCTCCTAGACTCTCCCATCGCCAGGACTCTCATCACCATGGCACCCACGAGGCTCCTGTCCCTGACCTGTAATTGAGGCCTCTTCCAACAGAGGGCGCTGTTCAAGGTCAGGCCTGGGTGGGTCACTCCCGTGGGCACAGAGCTGGCCCAAGTGAACTGGCTCCCTGTTACTTCCCTACTGCAGGCAGCAGGGTGGCCTCAGAGTGGATACTGGACACCACCACTGCCACAGCTGCCCACAGCTGGACAGGCGCTACACGTTCAGGAATCTGCAAAACTACAAGAACCCAGAGGGCAGTACCGGGTGGGCTGCCGGCCACCTGGCCCAGGCAGGGAAGTTCTGACATAAACGCCTGGGGCGCACAGGGAACACTCAGGCTGTCGATGTCACCGACCCCACCTGGTGGCATAGAACAGTCTCAGGCTGGGCGTCCGGGGCTCTTCCTGGGCGTCTGAGCCGCAGGGGCCCCTCCCGGAGCTTCCCACCGTTCCCTATCCCTCCTGCCCACAGGGGCACCCACAGCTCTCTCCCCACTGCCTGCAGCACTGCTGTCCTCAGGGCAGGCGCAGTGCTGGGTGTACCCAGGTAACCCCACACACAGGGGATCTCCTGGGGCCCTGGCCAGGCACCCCTACCCCCACCAGACCTGAGGGAAAAGTGGCCACATTCCTGATTCTGAATGACAGCTGTGACCCAAACGCAAGGGCACAGCAGGCCGTGCCCCCAGAAAGACTGGCTGACACAAACGCGGGCAGGGGAAGCTGCAGGCAGCTGCTGCAGCCACACAGCAGCTCCGGCAGAAGCCTGAGGGCCCTTCCGGCAGAAGCACTGGCCACACACAGGCTCCTTCCCTCCACACTCTGCTCATCAGCGTGACCCTCACAACCCTCCTGCAGGCTGCCCCATCACATAGCCCTGCAACCACAGTCTCCTTCCCAAGTCCCTCAAAATCACAGCTCAAAAGGCAACTCTGGAAGGCGCCGGCGCTCAGCTGCTGTGTGGACCAGAGGCGGAATCTCCACCCCAGGAATGCTCCCAGAAGGGTGCTCACTGGCCGTCCTCAGCACTCAGGGCCAGGTGAAGGCTCCTGTGTTTCGCTGCATGGACAGAAGTTCACGGCTGACAGGTCTCCACAAGCTCTGTCAGTTCCAGGGACCAAAAAGCCTCGCAGTGACCCAGCAGGCGGGCATCAAGCACCTCCACCAGTTGGGAGGCTGGAGCCCTGTGCAGCTTCTCTACCACCTTATCAGATGAGCAGTGGCTCCCTGCAACCAGAGGCAACCCCAGCTCCCTGCATCTCCTGGAAATGAGCCCAACCTATAAGATGCACCATTCAGAGACCCAGGAAGCCACTTCCGGTCAGACAGGGCTGCACAGCTCAAGGATGGGTGACCATCATCGCTGGAGCTTGCTCCCCAGGAGGGCAGGTGACCCCACTGAGGTGGTGGGATCACATGGTCCCCTCGAAGGTGCTAGCTTTGTGATGTTGTCCTCAGAGCACCAATGGGCTGGGAGATGGCATGAGGAAGCACACCCTGGTGCCTTGGGGGTGGACAGGCAGGGCATGGCTCTGCGTCTCACTGCGACACCCCATCTGAAGTCACACAGGTCTCTTCTTGTGTGAGACAGGAGGTCTGTCCTGACTTGTGTCTCGATGTCCTCCTCAAACCTCACGTGGTCACAGATGGGGCTTTCCCAGAGGTGGCTGGATCTAAGGTGCATGACTCTAAGACTGATTCATGGTACACTGCTACACCCAGAGGCACCAGGGCTAAGGGTGAGAGTGCCCCCTCCCTGAGCAGCCCGGATGAGATATAAGGCCTAAAAAGAGCTGTGGTCATCCTGGTTGCTTTGCTGTCTTCTGCCTGCCTGCCGTGGACTGTTTCTCCTCTGAGATGCTCCCCTGCCATTTCTTGGGACCGGCCAATTATGCACCGAAACCTCCACAAACTATGACTATGAGCTAAATAAACCTTTCCTCCTTTTTGGGTGTCAGTATTTTGTCTCAGCAACGAGAAAAGTAGCTAAGACAAGGTCACGCTGGGGACCTACACACTGTGACCTGCAGAAATGCCCTGCAGTGCGCAGAAGCAGCAGCAGTGGGGGTGCAGCTCTGGGCGCCCAGCCCACCCTCGGTCACCTGTCAGTCCCCCAGCACTGCTCTCCTGGGAGTGTGCTGAGGCCACAGACATGTGACCCGTGCGGCCATCAGCCCTCACCTGCCTCCCCAAGGCGGAAGCCAATCAAGCAGCAGCATGGAAGAGGCCGGGGAGACAGCCAGAGGACACAGGAGAAGCCACAGGGCTGCAGGACAAACGCCCTCTCCCCGTCCTGAGACTCCAGGAGCCCTGGGCTGAGCCCCGGTGCCCAGACATCACTGGGGTGCAGCTCTGTCCACGGCCACCCTGCAGATTCCCGTGGGCATCACCCAGAAACTGGCACACATCACTGCACCACACACATTCATGAGGTGGACAGAAAGGTAAAGGCCACGATTCTTTTCCTCAAAAAACGCAGCATTTCCAGAGGAAGGTGAAGCACGGTGGCATGCGGCACCTGTCCGCGGGAGCCACTCCCCTGGCGCTGCACAGGAGGCCGGGGCGCTGCCTGCCTCAGCCTCTGCTCCCCACGGGCTTATCTCTCTCTTGCAGGCAAAGTAAGAAAATGACAATTTAAGATAACACAGAACAGGGCCCATCTTTCTTCTGAAGATAAGATTGTAAGGCCTGGAGTCACCGCACATTTGTGGGGTGGTGCATTAAATATAAAATCACCGCCCCACACACAGCGCCTGAGCACCATCATACGGGGCTCATTTATTTCTCCGGAACCTGAGTTTTGCTGTCTATCTCGAGGCTACCTCCATCCGCATTTGTAAACGAGCAGGCAGAAGCCCCAGCCGGATTTTAATGAGCCGTGGGCGGCTCCTCCTACCCCTGTACTGCCCCATGCAGTGGACGCAGCCCTTAGGGCTCAGATTGAAAATGGGGCTAGGACAGGGGAAGGGAAAATTCCCCCGTAAAATGACAGAGAGCCAAGTTTCCTCCCTCTGCAGAGGCCGCTCCACAGACTTTCGGAACTCAGCCTCATCGAATTCTCCCTGATGCCTGCCCAGAAGTCCCTCCACCCCCAAACAGGTCAGCGTCCCACAGGGAGGGACAGTGGTGCCACATGCCCTGCCAGGTCCCACAGCAGCTGTCTGCCCTGGTGGGTGCAGTGGCCCTCGGCCGTAGGCCGTGACACCTGTGTCCTCTGTGGATTCTGGAGTTCCAGATGGGTCCAGCCTGCCAAGCCCGGCCATGCCCAACCACAGCCTGGACACCATGCAACCCAAGGTCCTGGTGCTCACGTGAAACCGCATCTCCACTCAGGCCCAGCCCAGCAAATCCACTGGTTTCCCGTCCCTGGCGCCCCTGCCCTCACGCTCCAGCTGGAGACGGCGGTCGCCCCACTCACCCACGTTGGCCAAGGTCAGGTACAGCTGGCCCTTCAGCACCGTGTGGACCCCGATGGGCTTGACGCTGCTGAACCCAACCAGGTCTCTGCTCACCACCACACTGTCCTGCTCGTACTCGGTGGCCACGACCTCCAGCTCGCAGGGGACCTGCACGGCCGGCCGGCCCTGGCGGAGCAGATGCTGTGCAAGAGAGAGTACTGGTGTGACCGTGGCCACTGTCCAGGGGCCCTCAGGTGGACGGAGCCAGCTCCCAACCCACCAGGAAGGGCCACGGGGTCTGGACAGGAGCGTGTTTGAGAGCGGGGGCACCCCAGGGCCCTGATCAGGAACCAGAGGGGACTCCGGGCAGAGGCTACTACTTAAAACCCACCAGGCTTGGACAGCACGGTGTTTCTCACAAACTCTAGAAAAGAGCGCAACTCCTCACTCAAGCACACAGAGCTGCCCTCTCGGAAGAGGGAACGAGAAGGGGGCAGCAGGACAGGCAGAGACCTGAGCCCACGTCTCCGGACAGAAACCTGAACTGGACCTACAGGACCAAGCTGAGCCACGGGCAGAGGATGCAAACCAGGCCGGGTGTGCCAAGCAGAGCCATGCGGTGGGGAATGGTGCGCTGGGCCTTAGTGTAGCCAGCAGGAGCCCAAGGGCTGCACAGGGACCTTGGGGCTGGGGGAAGATGGTAAGGAGCTCTGTGCCAGGCAGGGCAGTGGGGGAACAGAGTACATGTAGCCCTGCTCAGCAGGACGATTCACCACATGTCCTCTGCACGTCACAGGCCGTCCCACAGACCTCTGCCCGAGGCTTGGTGCTCAGGCAGTGCACTGGGGATGAGGTGGGATGGCGGGCTCCCGGGTAGCATCGCCTGCCCTCTCTGGACTGTGCCCACTCACACATAAACAGAAGACCGGGGGCAAGCTAAAGTCATCCTTGCTTCTCTGGGCCTGGGAGCACAGGAGCCCAGCCCTGAGCCCCCACAGCGGGCAGCCTGAGGTTTCCTGTCACCTGTCACCTGCTTGGTCAGCAATGCTCATGCACACTGCACACCCTGCCAATTCTGTGCACCCCCTCCACCCCGAGCACAAGAGGGCTCCTTCAGCAAAAGGCCCGGAAACATAAAAAACAACATTCAGCCTCTCAGGGAAGCGAATAAGGCGAATAAGAACGAGGTGACGGTGGGTTAGAGCAGGGGCCCAGGACACCACCCCTCATCTTCAGGAGGTACAGGCCCTGCCGGCCTGGGGGTCCTCCATGCTGGAGGCCACTACTGGGAAATGGTCACTTGGGGACCAGAACAGTGATGAACCGGGGCCAAGGTCGGGACTGTAAGAACCCAGCTCTGGTGGTGCTCAGCGTGGCCCTGGCTTCACATCCCCGCACCCAACCCTGGACAACGGATGGGCAACAGGGTCCCCAGAGGATGCACGTCAAGCAGGCTGCAAGCCAAGCGGCCTGGAAGCAGCCTTTTTGTTGCCCCAATAACGTGAGAAGTGGGGTGCCATTTAACCTCCCAGACATCGGAAAGAGGAAAGTGAGGAGGGGAGGAAAATCAGGTTTCCTCACAGCCAAGGAAACAAAACCCTCCGAGGGGGTGCTCAGGGCGGAGCTCACTCGGCAGCAGGCAGCTGGTTCTGGCCACACACAGATCATGAATAAGGATCCCTGAGCGACCCTGTTTGAACCTATCCGAGTCTGTGGCCAACAGCCCAGCATTAGTTTAAAGGAGGAGACTGCAAGGCCCTGACCCAGGGAAGAGGCAGAGGAGGGCAAGGCCCGAGGGGACAAGGCTGTCCCCACAGGGCACTGCCTTCTGCCTGGCTCCTCAGCACAACGCAGCACCAGGACCACGATGGACACACAGCAGGGACAACACCAGGCCCCCCGGGATGAGGGGAGCCCACAGGGCAGCTGGGGATGGTGAGGAAGGAAGGAAGGAGGGAAGCAGGTGTGTGCACACAGGAGGGCAAGGTGCGCAGGTCTGGGGTCTCCCTGCCCAGCAGCTGCCAGGCTGGGGGCAGGGGGAGGCCAAGGCCATGTCGGGGAGCCTGGACGGGACCAGCACTGCCAGCCAGGAAGGCCGAGGGTGGCTGGTCACAGGGGCAAGGACACTGTACCTTCATGGAGACGCCGGCCGATCCGATGAGGAGCAGGGAATCCCCGTCCCAGACGTCGATCTGCAGCGTCTGCGCAGCCAGGTAGCGGAGAAACCAGCGCTGCTCACCCGGCTTCAGGAACCCGGGGCCCACTGTGTACCTCAGCTGCAAGCCAGGGGACCCTGCGGAGGAGGCCCCGGCAGCCTGGAGTCATGGAGTCACCTACCATCTTTACACGCTCAAACTGTGTCTGCTCTGGTCATGATGACTGATTTCTGCTGCCGTCGTGGTGACGGTGGACACACGCATGCATCAGGAACACCATGAAACACCCAAATTAACAAAACCCAGGGTGACGCCCTGAGCGGGGAGTCCTGGTTTCCACCAGCGCCCAGAAAACGGTCTGTGACTGGTGGGAGCGCTGTCCTGGTGAGACGCTGGGGAGTTACCATCCCAGGACACCTAATTTAAGAGGACTGAGTCTGCATCTGCTGTCCAAGCTGACACACACACACGCACACTCACAGAGACAGAGCTCTGAGCCTGTCACAGGAGGGCCCAGGCTCCCTGCCTGCCCTAATGTGGAGAGATGGATGGATGGACAGAGGGATAGACAGCATCAGCCCTCGGACTCCTTGCTCCCCTCCGGGCCGCTGTGACCACCTAGGAGGCTGACCAAAGGCTGTAGACCGACCGCGGCCCCTGCCTCCTCCGTCTTGAAGTGCACATAGATCACCCTAACTCAGCAGGAGCCATCCGTGGTGAACTCGGGAGCAGCACTGCTGGGAACATGCTCACAGCAACGATTCCCCTTTACCATCAGGAACCGCGGCCCGGTGCTCGGAGGCCTGGCCCTCACAGCGGGGCACAGAGCTCGGCCACAGTGGGTCCCTCCATAGCCACTCAGCCACCAGGGTGGCCACAGACCGAGGTCCCACCTGCTCTCCAGACCAGATGACAGTGCCTGTATTGGTGGAGAGGGACCAGGCCGCAGCCTGAGACCCCGGGACCCTGGAAAGGCATGAGGCCCAGAGCTGGGGCAGAGCTTAAAGGGGATCTCACGGGGTGGAGAGGTGGAAAGGAAGGACAGAGCCCCGGGTGGGGCTGGTGATGGGAGCACGAGGCACGCAGGTCCCCAGGACAGCAGCTCAGCAGGGACCCAGCCCGGCCTGGCCCCATAGGCCAGCTCTGCGCTCTCTGTGGCCTACATCGCGTGGCCAGTGCTCAGAACACACCACATCCTGAGGGAGCCCTGCACCAGCTTCCCCGGGCACCGGCCAGAGGTGCCACGGGGGAAAGGGCAGCATGCCCTCCTCCACGAGGGGGCGCCCTCGGCCTCTCCCACCCAGCACAGCCTGGGTGCACCCTGAGGTGGGCACCGCCCTGCTGGCCCTCAGTCTTCACCCTGCCAGCTCCTCCCAGCACCCAGTGGCCTGCTGCCTGCTCCACCCCCCACACAGCTGCAACTCACCGGGGCCCTGCATGAGAACAGTACACAGGGGCCTGCTGTGACTGAAGGCCGCACTGGACACAGCCGAGGGGTAGCTGGTGAGGCAGTCACGGCCCCCGGCAGTCACGCCACCCTTCCCACTGCAGGTGTGGACACCAACTCCCGGTCCAAAGGCAAATGGCTCCACAGTGGCTGTGCCCACGACCAAGCTCCCAGTGGCCCACCATGAGCACTGCCCAAGCAGCTGTCCAGAGAGACTGTGCAGTCCCCACCTGCTCCCCAGGGGGTCGGTGCCAAGCACCCTCAGCACTGAGAAGGGCACTCCCTCCTCTCCACCCCGCCACCCTCACGAGGGCCTCAACCCAGCCGATCGCCATGCATGGCGACCAGGTCCATGCATGGTGGATGCTCCTGCCCACGGCTAGCTGCCACCTTCCCTCAAGCCCTCCTGTCCTATGTGGGCATCCACAGCCCCACCAGGTGATGGACACCTTTTGACACGAACATCTAACTGGGCACAGGGCTGCACACCTGTCACCACAGCACTCTGGGAGGCTGAGGCAGGAGAAGGATCACAAGTTCAGGCCCAGACTGGGCAGCTCCGAACTTAGCAAGACCCTGCCTAACAGTTAAAACTACAGAAGGGCTGAGGATGCAGTCAGGGTAAAGGCCATGGGTTCAATTCCCAACTGCAGAAAGGAAGAAAAACTAGTATTTTTAAGTTGTGGAACAGCCGTGAAGACCTATGTACCCAGCAAACCAGAGACCCAGAGATGCCAGGGAAACAAGCCACTCTCAACCCAAGGGCAGATCCCCACACAGGAAGGAAGGAAGGAAGGAGAAGACGGCGCCTGTTATGGATTAAAAACTGGTGGTCAGCTTAACACTAGCTGAATTAAATCAGCTTGGTGCTGAGCACAGACAGTCCACTGAGGGAAGTTGCCAGCATAAATAGAGACGTGGGGAAGAGAGAAGCATTATGGGTTTCTCTAAGTGTTGCCGTTTGAGCCGCTGGTTCTCCTGGAGGAGCTCCTCATGACCAGCTTCCCCAGGGTGAGTTCGGTCATTGTCATCAGAGGAGCTGGGGACCTTGTTGGTGAGGGTGGCTGTGGTTCGCTTTGGGGGAGCTCTGGTCCTTACAACGAGCATCGCTTCCTGGCTCTGGAGGGGAAGACGTGTGCTGTTTAATTCCAGGACAAACTCGTCATGCTGGCTTCCTGGCATGTACTCGACTGTGCTTATCATCAGAGGAGCTCGGGACTTCTGTGTCACTGAGGATGGCTGTGGTTCTCTTCAGGACAGCCCTAGTCTTTGTTTTGAGCATGACTTCTCGGCTCCAGTGTAGAACCTTCAACCTACCAGCACAGCTCCTTCACCCCTCTGGCATAGACTTTCTAGCTTCCACTGCTGACCTTTGGGCCTTCCCAGCACAGGTCCGTAAAACAGATTGGTGTTGAGTCCTTCTCGTGGGCTCTAGACCTCCAGTTGGACTTGTGGGAGGCACTGTCATGGGCTCTAGGTTTTCATCTGGACTCATGCAGGACATTGCTGTAGGATCCAGGCCCCTGGCTGAATCCAGGTCCAGGTCTTTAGTGTTGTGGACAGATTTCCTGCACTTTCTTGTGTTTAACTCTGGGTGACCATCATAAATAACATTATAAATTCTGTGTCCTAATTCTGATTATTCTCACAGCCCCTGACTACAACAGTTTCCCAGTAGCACAAAACACATCTTCACAAGTACACCCGCAACATTAATAAAAACCAACAGTGTAGGTTAGGGTAAAGAAAACCTAGCTGTACTCTTTAAAGGGGAAGTGATACAAATGGCTTCCCCTGATCACACTGCAATAAACCAGGAATTAGTAACAAAAGTTTGAAAACAATTTCACAACTTATTCATAAACGTTTAACTTATGTCAGAGTGCAAACGTAGTCCAAAAGAGATTCCCCACAGTATACTGAAAATGTTCTTACCAGCAGCAACAAAACGCAAAGTGGTCAGCGGGGAGCTCGGCGCCCTGACCTTTGTGCCCACAAGAACAGAGGAGTCAGACGAATGCACTGCATGATCCATGCAAACCAGCAAATAACAAGAAGAATACTAAAACGAAGGGAACAGAAACACTGAGGAAACAGGGAAGCCCAGAGGAGGTGAACCCCAAAGCTCCCTGGAAAGGCCCCAGACTGGACGTGAGCGTAGGGCAGGATGCCTCGCTCCTGGACAGGGCGCCTCCCCGGCAGTCAGTTGCAGATCACAGGGGGCGCACAGGGACCAGGCAGCCACGCTGCAGAGCACGGGGACGCTGGCGCATGCCAGTGGGTAAGGACCCCGAGGAAAGTCCTACCAAGAAGGCTCCCGTGGCCGCGCCAGCTCACTAGACATGGAGATAACGGGGACACTGCTGCCTGGACAGGATGGACAGGGAGGCTCAGGCCACAGCTGACCTCAGCCAACAATGGCCCATGGGCTGAGAATGCTTTCTCCATTTTTTTAAAAGTTACTTTTAAAAAAAAAAGAAGAAAATGTGATAGAGACCATATGTGCCCAGAAAATCTGAAATGCATACTATCTGTCCTCAATAGGAGGAGTTTGCCAACCTCGGGTGGGATCCAGAATCAAACCTGAGTATTCAGAAAGGTTGTTTTATGATAAGGTGGCTCCCCAGTTTCAATCAATGGCCCTGGGCCAGCTAGACAGACATCTGAACCAAGGCAGCGCTGGCCGTCCACACTGCCCATCGACTCAGGATAAACTGCAAAGAGACCAATGTCCTCATGTGAAAAGTGAAACCCACAAGTCCTAGAAGAAAACACATCTGAGCCCTCCCCCGACAAAGGAGGTGAGAAGAAAGCCCTTCCAGACTGCAGAACCTGCACGCAGTCACAGATTGACACACTCGACTACGTGAAAATAAAACTTTCACACAGCAAAACCCATCACAAGCAAAGCACAAAGACAAATGTCAGAGCCGAGAAACCTGTTTGCAGTTGCTCTCCCAGACAAAGGTCAGCCTCCCTGCTAAGTAAAGAGCTCCTGAAAACAGAGGACAAGAAAGACCAAGAGCCAGAGAGGAAGGGAAGAGAGCGGACAGAAGTTAGTGGGAAAAGGAAAATCAACAAACAGCCGCTCAGCGTCACTCAGTGAAACCAGCTCCACGTCCAGCAGCTGTGAGACCCTGAACCTGAAGGGCACTGAGGGCGAGGCCGCTGAGGAACAGATGGGGCTGACAGACAGAGGGACAGGGCTGGCCGAGCGAGGCCGTGGTCTGGAGGTGGGCAGGCTCCTGTGCTGGGCACGGGGACCAGCGTGCAGCTCGGTGCAGTAGAACCTTCCGCTGCATGGTCAGAGGTCACGTGGGCCCCAGCTTGCCCTCAGAAGGGCTGAATTCTGGTCTCGGGGGTTGAGTGAGTTCTCAGAGAGCAAGTTGGCAAAGAGTGGCCTGGCTCTGAATCCCTCTGGCTTCCGGTCTCAGCATGGACGCAGCCCTCACCCTGGTGGCACTCCTGCCACATTGTGTCCATCATGATGGACCCATCTGCCATGATGGACCCATCCGCCATGATGGATGCAGCCAGAGGCCACACAAGTCCAACTCTCAGCCTCCAGTGGGGAGCAGAATGAATCTCTGTTCATTATTCAGCCCCAGGGACAAGCTTGTGTTTTTCTCAAACCAACAGAAGACAAAGTCAGTCATGCAACCTGTGACCCTGTAGTCCTACGTCTAGAAT